CCAACTCTATCCCTGGATGGCTCAGCTTGTGAGAATCTCAGGCCCCAGTGAGCCCTAGATTGTCCAGTTATTCCCCATGTGGACAGAGAGATTTGAGGGTGTACCTGACAATCAAGAAAGGCCTCTTGGGCTTCCCTGGTGGCTCAGTGGTAAAGAATCAGCCTGCCAGGGCAGGAGACATGGGTTCGATCCTGCAAGATCCCACATGCTGCAGAGCGGCTAAGCCAGTGCGCTCAACAATTGAACCTGTGCTCTAGAGCCCAGGAGCCACAACTCCTGAAGCCCACGAACCCTGGGATGTGTGTTCTACAGCAAGAGAGGTCACTGCAATGACAAGCCCGAGTATCACAACTAGAGAGGAGCCCCCGCTTGCTGCAACTGCAGAAAAGCCTGCACAGAAACAAGGACTCAGAATAGCTGAAAATAAATAAATACACATTTTTAAAAGGAGTTAAAAAAAAGAAAGGCCTCCTAAGAAGGTGATGTTTGAATGGAGCAGCAAAGACTGGACAGGAATCAGCCTGGTGATGAGTTCGAGGAGAGGGGAGATTGTGAGGGAGATTTGGTTCCTCTGGGGACAGAAGGTCGCCACTGTGGCGGAAGCTGGTAAGTAGGGGGTGGGGGCTGGGCGAGCCTGTTACACACTAGGTCCTGTCCGGCAGAGATGGCCACACTCAGATCCCAGGTAGGGCGGGGTCCTGCCCCAGGTCACTCTGAAGGGCAGGAGCAGCAACAAGGGCCTGCCCACCCTGCCACTCCTTACCTCTGTTCTCTGTTCCCCTCAGCTCACTTAGTAGCAGGTAAACGCACAGGTGGATGACAGCTTCTTGCCTGGAGACTCCATGGACAGAGGAGCCTGGCAGGCTACAGTCCATGAGGTCACAAGAGTCAGACATGACTTAGCACCACCACCACCACCATAATAATCACAGGATATAATATCATAATGAGAAGAGACAGATTCCTGGACAGGTGACATGGTGTCATCTGAGTATAAGTCTATTTCACGGTGAAGGTGCATCTCAATGTGGAGGCAAGAATGAGGCCTCCAGGTGATGCTACATTCTCAGACCTCATTTGGGATGCAGAGATGAGGCCTCTCTTCTCCCTCTGAACATACTTCATTGGGGGGCTTTGCTTGCAAGGGGTTGATTTAAAGGAATTAACATGAGGGATTCCCCTGGCAGTACAGTGATTAAGAATTGGTGCTTCCACTGGAGCGGGTCTGGGAACTTAGATCCCACATGCCCTGATGTTCAGTGAAAAAAAAAAGCAATTAACATGAGTCTAGCCCCCAAACAATGTCCTCAGAGCATTCTCTGATCTCCAGGGAGGCAGCACAAGGTCATATACATTCCAAAAAATGTCCACATCTGTCTCATAAAAAAGTCATCCAAACGGATCATAGCAAATTATTTTTTTTAAAGGAAAGTGAATCTCCGCCCCCATGAACCCACTACACACATTTATTCTTTCCAAAAACTGGGATCATAATGTGCATGCAGTTTTGTAACCTGCTGAGTTCATGTCATACCATATCGTGTTTAAATATCCTTTGAAGACATAATTTCTGAAGGCTATGTGCTGTTCCTTAAGAGTCAGACACTATGATTTATTTAGCTATTCTCTAAAGTTGATTATTTCCTGGACCACTATTATAGATGTTTCTATGCACCTGCTGGCTTTTAAAAAGACTTGTTTCTGATTATTTTCTTGGGCTAGATTCCTACAAGTGGGGTTACCAGGTCAAGGGGCAGAACACATTCAAGAATCTTGATAGATAATTTGCAGATTACTTTCCAGAAAGATGAACCAACACAAGAAGCCAGTGCTGGCATCCCTATTTTCACCAACATGAGCATTAGTTTCAGGTTTATATATATATTTTTCAACTGTGGTGTTGGAGAAGACCCCTGAGAGTCCCTTGGTTGGCAAGGAGATCTAAACAGCCCATCCTAAAGGAAATCAGCCCTAAATATTCATTGGAAGGACTGATGCTGAAGCTGAAACTCCAATCCTTTGGCTACCTGATGCGAAGAACTGACTCATTTGAAAAGACCCTGATGCTGGGAAAGATTGAAGGCAGGAGGAGAAGGGGACAACAGAGGATGAGATGGTTGGATGGCATCACCGACTCAATGGACATGAGTCTGAGTAAACTCTGGGGGTTGGCGATGGACAGGGAAGCCTGGCCATGCTGCAGTCCATGGGGTCCCAAAGAGTCAGACAGGACTGAGCAACTGAACTGAATTATATATATTTTTAATTTTGGCAATTTGCTAAGCTCACCCTGTGCGAGATGCCAGTGCAAAACATTATGTAATATCACACACACACACACACACACACACACACACACACACACACACACACACACACACACACCCTGGGAGGAGGCACTCATTTTACAGAGGAAGAAACAGGCTTAGAGAGGACTCCCACGTCTGCCAGGGCCGCTTAGCCAGGAGGCAGAGGAGCCCCAATTCAATGCTGGCTAGCGCTGAGATCTGCTTGGTTGGAAAAACGGGGGATCTCGATCCGTGTCCGAATCTGGGCGGATGTGATGCCGTCACACACTTCGCTGTTGCTTCCTGCCCTTCAGGTATAAAAAACCAGGCTCTGCTTCAAAGCCCGCAGCTCCCAGCCGCCCTTCCACCCGTAGGCGGGACATCCCCTTAGTTCCACCCAACGTCCAGTCCCGTTGGCGCCTAAATCCAGGCCGAGTTTAGGCACCTGTGCGGCCGCCCCAGGGGCTGTAGTAGCGCGGGTCCCTAGCTTTAGGGCAGCGCTGGCCACATGATTGCGATGACTGGTTGACCCTCGGGTCTCCGCTGGGCCGACCTCGGGCCCTTGCGCCACCGCGTGAGCTGCGCGGCACACAGTTGGCGCCGGATACAAAGCGAGCGCATTGCCCTGGGCTGTTAGAGCCGTGGTCGGCTTTGCGTTACGGAAAAGGGAAAAGGGATCGCTCCCGAGTAACCGCACACTGTTTGTGACCCAGTGTGGGGACCAGGAGCGAGGCACCGGGACACCGGACAAAGGCAAAATTAAAGGGTCCTTGAGAGCAGGACGATGAGCGCCGTTTTTTTAAATCTTTGAACTCTGTCCTCCTCCCCGGCTCCGCCGCCAAACCCGAGAAAATACAAAAAAACACTTTCAAATCGAGCCTTCACCCCCACCCCTCCCCGGCCCACCACCTCTTCTAGGGCAAATTCTTGTGCCGGGGGCGTCCCCTCGCTAGGTCTCGCTCCCCGAATGTACAGCGGGTGGCTCCTCACCCCCTCCCACCCCCAGCCCCACGCGGGGCCCCCGGGATCGCGGGACAGTGGGGTCCTCGGGGAAGTCGGTTGGGGACGGTCCTCCTCAAAGCCCCCCGCCAAGTCCCTGCCAGACGACAGACCCCGTTCTGGGCGACAGACGGACCTGGGGTTCAGAGCCGCCCCTTCCTGATGCGGAGGATGCGGAGCGGAGGGTCTGCTAGGTGCCCGGCGCCCGCTCGCAGCCGGGAACCACTCCCGCCGCCGGCCGCGTGGCTGGGTGAGCAGTCTCCCTCACCCCCCACCCCCTACCGCCACCCACCACCCAGCACCGCCGTCCCCGCAGCGTGACCTGGACCTCCCGTCCTCCAGGGGGCGCTGCCCGGGCCCGGCCCGCAGACCGACCTTCCGAGTGGACAGGCCGGGGCGGAGCCGCGGGGAGACACGGGGACCCACGAAGCCGCGAGCCGGAGCGGCCCGGCCCGGCCCGGCCCGGCCCACCCCGCCCCGCCGGTGAGGTCTACGGGACGGCGGAGGGGGTGAGGGGAGGCGGCAGTGAGGTTACCCGGGCGGGGACGAAGTGCGCGGGTCGGGCACGGCTCGGGGGGACGGCCGAGGACCCAGGGGCCACTCGGATGGAGACTGCGGGCTTCGTGGGCAGGTGGGGACACCGCATTTGGATGTGATGCTGGATCTGTCCGTAGAGGAAGAGGCTGGTGGAATGGGGGCGGGGCGGTTAGAGTGGAGGGAAGCCTTCCTCTTACTTTGCTCGCGGAAGACAGTCAAAGGTGGCAGCGGGGTGGGGGTGGGGGTGATGTTATTGACAGAACGCGCGCACCCGGGACGGGGTGGGAGCATCAGAGGGGTGTGAGTGGCCGGGGGCTTGGTTTGTTCGGCAGGTGATTGGCCTAAAGAAAGGCCGAAGGGCGGGGTGGGAGGTGTATCAGTGTCAGGCGCCGCTCCTGGAGGGACCGGAGCGGGAAGAGTGGAGAGACGGAGGGCGGGATTGGGAGTTTGGAGGAGGAACTGTTGGGAAGATTTGGAGGCAGTTGGCGGGAGGGTGGTTAAACCTCGAGGCTGGTGGGATTGGAGGGGTATTGAAGGGACGGAGCGCACGCGTGGCGCGCTCTGGGCCGGACCGGGAGAGTAGCCGTGAAGCTCAGTCGGCAGCGCGCGAGAGCCGCGAGCTGGGGCTGGGCGACCGGGATCCCTCCGGCCTGACTCCCTCCCTTCTCGCAGCCACCATGTTCAACCAGCAGCAGCAGTTCCAGCAGCTCCAGCAGCAGCAGCTTCAACAGCAGCAGTTGCTGCAGCTCCAGCAGCTGCTCCAGCAGTCCCCACCGCAGGCCCCACTGCCCATGACCGTCAGCAGGTGAGCTCCCCACTGGAGGGCAGGGTGACTCTGGCCCGTGCCTTGGACTCGCCCCCTTCCAGCCCTTTCGCCCAGGGGCAGTCCTGTCTGAGCCCTGGAGGTCATCAGTTCCCACCCCAAGGGGATCCTCTGCAGTAGAGAGGGGCAGAGAAGGGAGGGGAGTGGGGTCAGAGAAGAGGGAGGGTCTGCCTCTCCCCATAACCCTTTGACCCCCGGTCTCAACGCACAGGGGGCTCCCTCAGCAGCAGCCACAGCAGCAGCTCCTGACTCTCCAGGGGACCAGCCCCACCTCCCTCCTCAACGGCTCTGTGCTGCAAAGAGCTTGGCTTCTGCAGCAGTTACAAGGTATGGCTGCAGGTGCACCGAGTCTCATCCAAGCCACACAGCGACTCTGAGAGGGAGCTACTGTCAATATCCCAGTTTATAGATAAGGACACTGAGGCTCGGGGAGGTGGAAGTCCCTAGGTTGCTCAGCTGAATGCAGGTCTGTCTGATCACAGAGGCGAGCCTTTGGCTGTGGTGCTAGCTCTGTGGGCACTACTCAGCAGATATTTTGCTGACATTGAGAGATTTGATGATATGATGGATGGAAAGATCTATTTTGACCACCCTCCTTTGCATCCTGTTTGACAGATGAGGACATTGAGGTCCAGAGAAGGGAAGTCATTTGCCCTGGGTCACACAGCATCAGCAGTGGCTGAGCTAGATGGAGCCTTGGGCCTCCTGACCCCTGGATCTCTGAGTGGGTGTCTCTCGCCCTCTGCATTAAGCCTGTGCCCTCACCTGGGTTTCTCCACATGGAGAGCAGTCTTTCAGCTTTTCTTTCCATGATGCTGCTCCCAATACTTCAGCCACTCTGGGAGGAGACAGGGGTCTAGAGACATGGAGCCAGCTCTTCTTCAGACCTAGCCCCTCCCACAGGGTAGCTGTGACATGCTGACTGGTCCTTCAGGGCTGAGCACTGTGCTGAGCCCCTTACAAATCCAGTTTCTTGACTCTGCTGACAACCCTAACGGGAGATACACTCATGGCCCCATTTTACAGATGAAGAAACTGAGGCCTAGGTGTTCATTAGAGGTCTTACTACAGAGCTTTGTTCTGAGACACCAGGCTATCCTGACTCCCAGCAGGGTATGCAGCGAGGTCAGAAGATGTGATGTTGTCACTCTTCAGTCCTTACGTGGCCACATGGGTGTGGACAATCCTGGGAGCCAGTTTATAAATTATAAAGGGATGGATAGAGGGATAAGACCACATACAGGAATCCACAATGTTTACATACTTTTTTTCACTCTTTTCTTTCTCATTTTAAAAGTCACACTCTTCAAAGAAGAGCTAAAGAAATATTTTAAAAAGAGGACAAGAAAATCCAAATCATATGTAGACTCACTTCTAGAGAAAAAGAACACCCATTAAAGTGTTGGTATATTTCCTCCCATTTTTTTTTTTTTTAGGCACAGACTTGGGGATTTATATATGATTGTGATTACTGATATATATGAAAGGCTGTATTTTGTTTCTTTTGCACTGAGCAGAATGGCATGTTCATTTACCATATGATTTGACAGTCTCGATAAAGATTATTTTCAACAGCTGTTTAATCTTCCACTGGAGGTGTGTGCCCTTATGTCCTTAAACTTTCTCAGCTGTTTCCTTCTACCTCTTCTCTTTTTTTCCCTTTTCTTTCTCTTTTTTGCTGCTTTAAATAATGGGATGAATATCGTGTTTGAGAATATTTTCTTAGAATGGATTCCCCAAAGTAGAATGACCGGGTCAGGGAGGATGGGTGTTTTATGGTTCTTGATAAGTATTGCCAAATTGCTTTCCCAAAGGACTGGACCAGTTTGCAATGCCACCAGCCACGTATGACAGTGCCGGTCTCACCATGCCCACGACAACACTGGGTATTATGCTCTTTTCTAATATATATGTATATATACATCTAGTCTAATTTGCTTGGCAAAAAGGCTATATCACTAATGCTTTAGTTTACATTTCTTGGAGTGCTTTTAGTTTACATTTCTTAGTGTGCTTGAACATTTTATATGTGTCTGCTGAATGTTCGTAATTCATTTTGTGACTTGTCCATGTCCTTTGTCCATTTCTCTTTTAGAGTGTGCCATCTTTTATCTCACTGTTTAAGAGCTGGCTGGTGTTCTCTCTGCACATATGTGTATATGTATTTAGGTTAATGTTCACAAAATGCTTAGTAAATACCAGGCACACTTGTATATTTCACTGAATCCTCATAAAACATTGTGAGTCAAGCACTATTACTATTCCCATTTTACAGATGAGGGAACTGAGGCTAAGACAGGGAAACTTATTTGCTCAGGGTCACAGAACTTGTACTGTACAGCCTGCATTTGAACCATTTCTCCCAGCACATCTGACCCATACATGCCTGTAACCCCTGTGTTTCCCATCCCAGCACTGGGGTAAGGATTTAAACTGTCCTTTGTTGGATCAGATACTTCTCCAGTGCTCTGAGTCAGATGAAATGCCTGCCCTTAAGGAGTCCCCGGGTGGTTAAGTGGTGGACGGTGGGAAGCGGACAAGGAATTGTGCAGCTGGCCTGGAAACAGGGAAGCTGGGTTTCTGAGGACAGAGAGAGGGTCTGAGAAGCCCTCTCAAAGGAGAATCACCTAAAGGGAGGAAAGAAGGATGACTGGAATATGCAGAGGCAGAACAGTCCAAGCAGAAGGAAGAGCATGTGCAAAGGCCCAGAGGCAGGCAGACCCAGGCTTGTTTGAGGCAGACCCAGGCATGGGAGCGTGTGGCTGGAGTACAGTGTGTGTGTGTGAGAGAGAAATGCAAGAGAGGGAGTCGAGGGGGCCAGGGCCCGACCTTGCAGAGTGAGGAATGGGCTTCCTTCCTGAGCATCAGGAAGCTATGGAAGGGTTCAGCAGGGGGAGGGGGAAAGTCAAAATGTGGTTTTTAGAAAGATCACAGCACAGAGACTGTGGCTGAAATTCACACGTGGGATGAAGCGGCTTTGGAAGGAAGAGGGGCGATAGGAGTGGAGATCTGAAGGGGAGTCAGGCTAGACTGCGAAGAAGGGTAAGAGTCAGGGTTAAGAGAAATGGTGTTGGCTTACATGGGGGAGGGTAAAGAGAGAGGGGAATAAGAGGACCCCCAGAATCCTACCTGGGAGCCAGCGAGTGGACAGCAGTGCCGCTCCCAGAGATCCTGGACAAGCCATTCCTTCACTTTGTGTCTGTTTTATGATCAGTAGAGAGGATGATAGTTACCCTGATGGTGGCTGGATGGAGTGATTAAGGCTGTTTTTATAGCAAGTGCCCGGTCACCAAAAGACATTTCCTTTTTTTTTTTTTAGACATTTCCTTGTAAAAAAAATATTTATTTATGTATTTGGCAGCACCAAGTCTTAGTTGTGGCCTGTGGGATCTAGTTCCCTGACCAGGGATCAAACACAGGCCCCCTGCATTGGGAACGTCGAGTCTTAGCCTTTGGACTTCCAGGGAGGCCCTCTAGGAGACTTTTGATGACAGGTAGCTGGTGTTGGTAGGAGAGTTATCTTGTTATTCTAGGGACCAATCATCTTGCTGGTTCTCCCTTTGGGTCCTGTGCTGAATCTTTTATATACCTGAAAGTGTACCCTAAAGCACGTCTGAGGGTGAGCAGTTTCTGGGGGTGCCCAAGCCACTGAGTTGGGAGGCATTTGAGGAGGGAAAAGGGCCCCTTCCCTCACAAGCTGGAGCAGAAAACCAGGCCGAAAGCCCCCTCCCACCAGTGCTTTAGGTGGGACTGGGCCTTTGGCTCTAATCTCTTCCCCTCTGGCTGCTCTTGGGTAGGAAGGATCCCCTTTGAAGTTATCTGTGATGCCCCCATGATGCTTGGGGTCACTGACCCCTGACCCTAACCTTTACCACCCGACCACAGTTGTAATCCCCCTTCTGCCCTCTTTTCACCCACAGGTAACCTCCGTGGCTACAACCCGGCAACTCCCAACCTGACGCCCCCCAGCCTCACACCCCCACAGCTGGCCACCCCAAATCTCCAGCAATTCTTTCCTCAGGCCACTCGGCAGTCCCTGCTGGGCCCTCCTCCCATCGGGGTCCCCATCAACCCCTCCCAGCTCAACCTTTCAGGGCGAACCCCCCAGAAACAGGCCCGGACCTCCTCCTCTATGACCCCCAATCGCAAGGTGAGTGGTGTCTGGGTGCAGAGCAGGTGTGGATGGGAGAGGACATATCTGGGGACCCACCAGTAGTACCCGCTCCAGCTCACATTGGCCTTGGGGCTATCATCGCCCTCTCTGTCCCTCAATTTCCTTATCAATGAAATGATAGGGGGGCAGAGTTAGACTTGTCTAGTGTTTCTAAAGCTTTAAATATTTCTGAACCCCAAAGTGATTTTTGCTATATCTGAACACCACTCGAACTATTTATTCCCTTTTTATTTACAATTTCTATTATTTACTAATACTGTTTGCTAACAATTCTCTCTTTTTGAAAAGACTGTGGTGTATTTGACATATAACACTGTATTCATTGTAGGTATATTTTACCAACTTTCTTTAAACCAGCACTGCCCGGTGGAAATTAAATGTGAGCCACATATGTAATTTAAAATTTTCTGGTAATCACAGTTACAAAGTAAAAAGAAATAGGTAAAATTAATTTTACTAACGTATTTAACCTACTGTATTAAAAATTATCATTTCAACATGTAATCAATATAAAAAATGAACAAGGTATTTTATATTCTTTTGAGAGTTTTTTTAAAAAATACTAATTCTTTAAAATTGGTATATATTTTATGCTTACATCTCAACTCAGCTTGCCACAATTCCAGTGCTGGAAAGTCAGGCATATGTATCTACTAGCTACTGTTTGGGGTAGTATAGCTTTAAATGAACACTACTTTTCTGTCACATTTATTTAAAAAAGAAACAATCACTATCTGAAATTAAAAAAAAAAAAAAAAAGCAACACAGTAACAGTAACTCTGAATTAATCCCTAAGCATAGAAGTAAAAGAAAAGTGATTGGGGTAAAACAAAATGTTGTAAAATCCTAAACTCTACCCTGTTGCCAGCTCACCTTTCTGAGCCTTTAATGAGCGCTCCCTGATTTGAGCAGGAAGAACCAGAGAGGTTTTCAAAGGAAATAACATGCTCCCTATGTCTGCCCTGTCCCCGGATGTCCAGACAGCTCCTCACACACATCACACTCCTGAGAGCATCCCAATTGGGAGAGGGGGCAGCATCCACCTTTTCTGGCTCTGACACCACCCACATCCAGAGGTGAGGCATTTCCCTCCAGAGAGGGCTCACAGCCTCTGACCTTCCAGTTGGGCCTGTCCTAACATGGTCCTGTCTACTGTTTACCTCCTTGCCCCCATTTTACATATGGGAAGACTGAGGCTCAAAGAGAAGGGTGGAGATTGTCCTGGGCTGCACAGCTGTCCAGGCAGACCCAGAGTCCGGCCCTCCTGACTCTCAGACCAATGCCTGTGTCATGCAGGGTGAGAGCTGGGTAGTTTGTGAAGGGCATGGAGCGCTGATGTGGTGCATGTTTCCACTCACCGCTGGTCCCTTGGGCTTAGTAGGAGGGAGGCAACCGGCAGGTGAACCCCTGAGGCTCCCTGGGGTATCCTGGAGCCATTTGGAACTGTGTTCACTTAGCGGATGTCTGTTAATGCCCGGCAGAGGACTCTTTGGGGCAGAGAAGGCATCTGGCCTGGCTCTCCTGGAGATCCTGGGCTGGGGAGGAGGGTGGTAGTGATGATGAGACCTTAATATATATAATTCTCCAGTTGATGAATGATGGCCATGGGAAATGCTGCAAAAAGGAAGTCCAAGGCCCCGGGGAACCTGTACTATGGGTTAGGAGGGCTTCCTACAAGAAACGCCTCTGAGGCTCTGGGAGAAGACCCAGGACTTCGGGGAGCCAGAGGGGCCAGCGTGGACACAGAGAGGAGAGGGAGCATGAGAGCTGAGGCTGGAGGGACAGGCCTGAGATAGGGGCCAGATTGTGCAGGGGTGTGGGGAGGGGAGTTAGTTTCAGGCTTGGGTGTAAGGAGGGAATAGTCCAGGGCTACAGGAAGTCATGGGAGGGTCTCAGCCTGAAAGAGACAAGAGACATGATCAGGTCTGCATTTGAGAAGGGTCTCTCTGGCTGCTTCATGAAGAGGGTAAGGAATCAGGGGGCAGCATCATGGACCCGGAGAAAGTATTGCATCGCCCAAACCTGCATTTACTTAACAGGCTGGCAGCTAGATGGAACCCCTGGACGTGATTCCCAGGGTGTTTAGGGTCTTCCCTTGGCAGCTCTGGGGCCAGGCTCCTTCATCCCCTGGAGCCTACATGTTGAAGCTGCTCTTGGGCAAGTACGTATTTACTGGGGTGGGTGGCGGATATCAGAAATGGTTTCTGAAAGGAAGTAGGATTCTTCTTCTCAGACGATGCCTGTGGAGGACAAGTTAGACCCCCCAGAGGGGTCTGAAGAAGCCGCAGAGACCCGAACAGACACACCTGAAGGTGAGGGAGAGAGGGAAGCTGCTCGCCCTTTGAAGGGACATGGGTTGGTGGGAGGTGGGTGTGGGGGGCAGTCAAGGAGGTAGATCTGGGAGGCAGGGTTCTTGCAGGGGGCGGGGGGGTTGTGAGCCCAGGCCCCACCTCCTGGAACTGGGAGCTCATACGTGCTCCACCTGGCATGGCAGTCTCTCACCTGCCCTCCATCCCAGACCAAGAACCTCCCCAATGCCCAGATGACATCGCTAAGGAGAAACACACTCCAGCACTTGAGCCTGAATCTTGTGAAGCCTCTGAGCCGCCAGCTAAAAAGTCAAAGAGGTAACTGAGGCTGAAAACCTGCCTGGTACCCAGGTGTTCTATACCCTCATTCCTGCAAAGGAAAAGGGTAGGGGGAGGTGGGGTGAGATCCTTCAATGAGACAAGGCAAGGACCTTGGTTTCTGGCATGGGGGGAGGTCAAACCTAATTTTGCATCTTACCTGAGAAGGCCCTTGGCCAAATGGACTCTGGCTTCTTCACTGTGTCTGGGCCACAGTGAGGTGAGGGGGCCAGTGTGGAGGGGTAAAAAATGTGCGCCTGGAACCGCAGAGTGTGGCCAGAGGGTAGGCAGGCTTCCAGGGCCTTGAATACATACTAGTAGGTTGTGGGAGGTGGGAGCAAGGGATCAGTTTGCTTAGGGGAAGCTGGGGCCCAGAGAGCCGTAGGGGCTTGCCCAGACCCCAGCTTGTACATGGCAGAGCCAGGACTGGAGCCTAGGTCAGGGCCTTTGTTGGGAGCCCATGGGGCCAGTTGGCAGACATGAATGTGATCTTCTGACCCTTCCCAGCTCAGGGGAGCCCGCAGAGAAGGGGTCCCCAGGGCAGCTGCAGGCAGAGGTCCAGCTGCAGACCCGGATGATGGCACCCAAGCAGACACAGACACCCGAGCTGCTGCCTGAGCCCCTGGAAGCACGAGTGCAGCCACGATTTCAGCCCCGGGTCCTGCAGATCGCAGCCCAGGTGCAGCCACAGACCCAGCCGCAGACGCTCCCTGTAAATGTCCAGGTGCAGCCAAAGCTGCAGAAGCAGGCACAAACGCAGACCTCTCCAGAGCACTTAGCACTGCAGCAGGTGCAGCGGCAGCCGCAGAAGGAGGCAGAGCCACGGAGACAGGTGCAGCCGCAGGCACAGCCGCAGCCCCCCAGGCATGTGCAGCCACTGCTCCAGAAGCAGGCGCAGACGCAGACACACCCACAGGTCCAGACGGAAGCACAGCCGAGGCTCCAGCTGCCGGAGCAGCCACCCAAGCAACCCCTGGTGCGGTTACCGGTGCAGCCCCCGGAACCGACCCAGGGACGGCCTCAGACTCAGCCACAGGCGTCGGTGCCAGCATCGGAGAAAGCCCCAGTTCTGGTTTCATCCACAGCGCCGGAAACTTTGCCTGATACAGTAGAAGCTGGAGCAGGTAAGTGAGCACTGACTCCCAGCTGGCCCGGTGATGGGACTTGCTCTGCTGGGACCCTGCTCCTCCCCCAGCCCTGTCCAGCCCTGACTGGGTGCTGCCTGGGACCGAGGACTGGGCCTGGATCCAGGGTTCCGGTCTATGTGCACTGGAGGCTTCAAGGTCCTGGCTGTGGGCGGAGAAAGTGACTCTCAGGCCTGCATCCCTCAGGGCCCAAGTGGGAGATGGGCCCTGGGAAATGGAGCACATCTGTCGTTTCAGGCCCAGAGGAGGCCCTGCCAGAGCCAGTGGGCACCCAGGTCAGCATGGAGGAGAGCCAGGAGGAGTTGACCGGTGGCCTGGATGTGGCAGAATGTGAAAAAAGAGCGAGAGAGATGCTGGGGGTGGGTAGAGATGCTGATGAGGACCACACGGTGTGCCCAGCGGTGGGAGGGCCTCCTTCTGCCCCAGCCATGCCCCCCCTAGCTGGGACCCCCTTGTGTTTCCCCTCCTGTGAAATGTGACGGCAGCCCTCCTCCTGGGTTTGCGGGCAGACCAGATTGGGTTTGACAGCGTTCATCAGCTCTCATGTGGGCCTTTACATGCCTTTGCTCTGACAATCTGAAGGCACTTTTGATGATAAGGGTCCATTCCAGCTTGCTCACCCCAAAACTAGAGCTCTCAGAGCCCCCACATGGCTTACATGCTCCAGCAGAGAGAGCATGGTATGGAAGCCTGCATCTGGAGCCTGGGGCCCAGTCTTGCCTTCTATTCTCTGTGCTAAGTTGCTTCAGTCCTGTCCAGCTCTTTGCGACCCTATGGACTATAGCCCACCAGGCTCCTCTGTCCATGGGATTCTCCAGACAAGAATGCTGGAGTGGGTAGCCATGTCTTCCTCCAGGGGATCTTCTCGATGCAGGGACTGAACCTGCGTCTCTCATGTCTCCTGCATTGGCAAGTGGGTTCTTTATCCCTGGCGCCACTTGGGGAGCCTTATGGTATAACTGTGGCCAAGCCCCCTTCCCTTCCTTGCATCTGTCACAGAGGCAGTGGGAACTGAGGGGGACCTGGATTTTTGAATACTGACTGCAGTGCTGCCTGGCTGAGCAAGCCTGGGTGATACCTAATGGCTCAGAGCCTCAGTTTTCCCGCCTGTAAAATGGGCTGAAAGGAGTGCTCCTAGAAGTTTCGCACAGGGCTGACCCACCATAAGTGCTCAGCTGGTGGTAGCTCTGTTCATGCTGCCCGTGCAGGTGTGGGGGGCCGGGGGCTCCCTGAAGGTCACCATCCTGCAGAGCAGCGACAGCCGGGCCTTTAGCACCGTACCCCTCACACCTGCGCCCCGGGCTGGCGACTCTACCTCTGCCACCCCTGCGGCGGCCAGCACACCCTCTAAGCAGGCCCTTCAGTTCTTCTGCTACATCTGCAAGGCCAGCTGCAGTAGCCAGCAGGTACGCTCCGGTGGGTGGGTGGGAGATCTCGTGGGTGGGTGGAGGGTTTGGGGTCTGTATGTGATACCCAGCCTGCCTTTCCCAGGGCTGCCTCTGTGTTCACTTGGGCCCCCAAGCCCCACCTCTGGCAACTGTACCTTTGCTCACAGAACATCTCTGGAACCAGCCAAGGGGGCAGGATTTCAGAGTCGGGTGGACCTGGTGCAAATCAGCCCTGACCGGCTATGTGGGTTTTGGAAAGTGAATTCCACCTTCCAAACTGAGGTGTTGGTGCCTCAGTTTCTGCATGCGTCAGAAGAAACATTTAGAACCCACCTCTAGAAAAAGAAAAACTACCTCCCAGAGAGGTTCTGGGGATTCAACAACTTGACATTGAAGTCACGAGTCCCTGGGCTGGCCCAGAGAGAGTGCAGCCTTAATAACAGCATCACACTGGTATGATTACTGTCACTATTGTTAGCACCACCCTTCTGTGCCTGGCCTGAGCAGAGCCATGAGGACCTGGAATTTGATCAGATTGCTCCTCACCTCCGAGGTGCTCATGGTCTCCAGCAGGAGCAGAGGCTCTGGCTGGCGTGTGCTCACTCTGGGCCTCAGTTTACCATCCTTCTCTTGCCCATACAGGGTCGTAAGAGAAAGGTCCACCTAACGGTGGTGGGGTGGCCAGGAAGCCCAGGTTGGAGGCCTCCTCTAGCCCCAGTGTTCAGGGGCTCACTGCTCATGCCCCTTTCTCACTCCTGCCTGCTGTAGGAGTTCCAGGAGCACATGTCAGGAGCTCAGCACCAGCAGCGGCTCGGCGAGATCCAACACATGAGCCAAGCCTACCTGCTTTCCCTGCTGCCTGTGCCCCGGGATGTCCTGGAGAGAGAGGACGAGTGAGTGGGGTGTCCCAGAGGCTCTGGGCGGTGCAGGGGAGGTGGCCTCACAAGCCAGCCCAGGAGGAGGGGGCCCCTGATCTACCATCCACAAGGTCTTAAGGGATTATGACTGCCCTCTCCCAAATACTTCTTCACTAACTGTGTGGCCTTGGCCCTCAGTTTTCCTTATCTGTAAAATGGCCTGGTGAGGGGTGTACGGCAGGAACTCATGAACTAGACAGCCTCTCTGCTTTTAAAAGAAAAGTTTTATGTATTTATTTTTGGCTGTGCTAGGTCTTTGTTGCTGCGTGCAGGCTTTCTCTAATTGCAGCAAGCGGGGCTACTCTCTAGTTGTGGAGTACAGGCTTCTCGTTGCGGTGGCTTCTCAGGCTGCAGAGCCCAGATTTTCCTAGAGCATGCCAGCTTCAGTAGTTGTGGCTCATGGGCTTGGTTGCCCCATGGCATGTGGGATCTTAGTTCCTGGATCAGAGATTGAATCTGTGTCCCCTGCATTGGCAGGCGGATTCTTAACCCCTGGGCCAGCAGGGAAGCCCCTAGACGGTCTCTTAAGGCTCCATCCAGGCAGGAACAGTGTGACCCCCTATGTGGGAGAGAATTGGGTTGTGGCATAGACCCCCCACTCCCCTGGCATATGTGCTGCCTCCAACCACAGGGCCTGATGGTCAGGCAGGACATGCTCATCTAATGGCCTGAGATTAGAACTTCCCTGGGTTTCCTCCTTTCTTGGTCATGGGGGCTTGGTCCATTAGAAATGTCAGCCCACCAGAGTCTGGGACTGGCTCTTGGGATGCTCAGTGGGCAACCACTGAGGCCTGCAGGAGCCGGGAGGCGTCAGCAGTGAGAGAAACAGGATGACATTGGCTCAGTCCACTCTAGGGGACTTGGGCTCTGTCTCACCAAACAGCTGCCACTCAGCTCCAGATTTCCTGGTTTCTCAGAAGCATCTAGAAACCAATTTGTATGTGATTCTCCCAATTTCATAATGTTAACAGCTAGTTCAGAATTAAAACCAGAACAGCAGACCTGGTGGTCCAGTGGGTAAGATTTCACCTCCCAATGCAGAGGGTATGGGTTTGATCTCTGGTTGGGGAACTAAGATCCTATGTGCCTTGTGGCCAAAAAACCAAAACATAGAGCAGAAGAAGTATTGTAACAAATTTAACCAAGACTTTAGAAATGATCCATATCCCCCCCCCCCCCAAAAAACTCTTAAAAAAATAAGAAACGAGTCCTGTGGAGGCCAAATCAGATCCTTTCCCTGGTCAGATAGGCTTTGAGTCAGTGGTCAGGGGCTCTGCCATGAGGATTTACAGAGAGTCACAGTTTGCAGCTCTCTGGGTGGGGTGAGGGGACAGGAAGGGCCCTTGGGTGGCCTCTGCTTGCATTACCTGAGTGACGGGGAGCTCTCTTCAAAGGCTGTGTCTCTGTTAGCTGGTTCTCAGTTCGAGAGGAACTTCCCTGTGGCTTTGTAGGATGGTCTCCACCCTTAAGCCTCCCCTGGCTTGCTGACCTAGGAGTTACACTTGGGCCAAATTAGCATAAAGCCAGGAGAAAGGTGACTCACAGAGATGTTCCTTGCAGAGTTCATGCAGTGGTGAAAAAATTTACTTGGAAATGATATAAAATATCCCAAACTAGGGACTTAGATCCGTTCTTCCACTTGGTGGAAGAACTAATAATATATAGGGCAACGGCAGGGAATTGCTGACAATGTGGAAACATATGCATGATGCAATGTCAGGACCAAACAGGATCCAAAATTGCATTTGCAGAATGAGTTTGACTGTATAAAAATAGATCTTGCGACAGAATGCAGGGCTGTAGCCCAAGCTGTAAACAAGCTTCAGGTGGAGAAGATCGCTACACTGCGTCCTGACACTGCTGGATCCTGACTCAGCCCCGCCCAGAATGCGGCAGTCCTTCCTTTGGGCTGTCTGTCCTTCCCTCACAGTCAGGAGCTCTGGACTGATCCCCTGCCAAACCCCAGGGATGCTGGGGTGAGGTCCTGGCCTCCCAGAGCTCACAGTCCAGTGAGGGCAGAGAGAGAATCAGATCCTCCCAATCCATTGTGGACAGTGCTATGGCAGTGGCACTTTGGGGGCCCAGAGCGGGGCCTGACTTACCGGCATGGAGACAGGTCCTGGAATTAGGGAAGGGCTCAGACAAGCTCTGGGAAAGTCAGGGCGTCCAAACTGGAGGATAGAGAGGAGTTCTCAAGGCCAGGTATTTTCTGCTCGGTCACCTGTCCTGGTGGCCTCCTGGTGTCCCCGGTGCTTCTAAATCTCATCCCTCCCCCCAGTTTTCTCTCTTATACTTAAGCATTCTTCTAGACGAACCCTAGAATCTGTTTGTTAAGTTTCCAAAAAAAAAAATGATTCTGTTGGACTCGCATTCCATTTATGGAGCATCCGGAAGAGCGGCTGTCTTTCCAACAAGAATGCGGTGTCACACTGTACTTGTTTTGATTGTCATCAGGGAGCCTCCACCCAGGCGCTGGTGCAACACCTGCCAGCTCTACTACATGGGGGACCTGATCCAGCACCGCAGGACGCAGGACCACAAGGTACCAGGGCCCCCCCACCGCTGGCTGCAAAGGCACCCCATGTGTGGTCTCCAAGCCCAGGGCTGGGGAGGAGGGAGCCCAGGTTGGAAGCGGAAAGTAAATGTCAGTCTTTGTCCCTGCATGGCTGTAGCTCGTGATGAATCAGTCATGTTTCCTCTCTGGGCTTCAGGTTCCCCATCTGTCCAGTGTGGGCGAGGCACCATCTCACCCTGCATTCAGCCTCGGGGCTCATGGGGTCCTCTGGCACCTGCCCTCTCTGTCTTCTGACTGTCCTGTCTCTCTGTTACCATCCACTATCCCATCTTGTGTTTGCCTGTGTTCTGTGGAGCACAGTCTGCTGATTGCAGAGTGGCTTAACTCTAACCCTAACCCTGACACTGGAGGCAGCACACCCGAGGCCTGCAGGTTGGAGGTGGCGTCTCACTGGGCCCTGCCCAGCTGCACCTGGGGACGCTGCCCCCGTCACTGCCCACTGGGCCCGCCTTCCATTCCTCAGCTGGCCAAACAATCCCTGCGACCTTTCTGCACCATTTGCAACCGCTACTTCAAGACCCCCCGCAAGTTTGTGGAGCATGTGAAGTCCCAAGGCCATAAGGACAAAGCCAAGGAGGTAACCCCAGCTCCCTCAGAGGACAAGGGCCCAGAGCACTACGGAGCCTTGGCCAAGGCCACACAGCAAGTTGAGGTGTATTCCCGTCCAAATTCACAGCAGGGCCGGAGGGATTAGAGCTCCTCTGGGGTGTGAGGTGGTTGGGGTGTCACATTGTGGCTGCCCAGAGCTGACCTGAGCCCTTACCCACCCCGGGAAGCTGAAGACGCTGGAGAAGGATATAGCTGGCCAAGACGAGGACCACTTCATCACGGTGGACGCTGTGGGCTGCTTTGAGGGCGATGAAGAAGAGGAGGAGGATGACGAGGAGGAAGAAGAGATCGAGGTTGAGGAGGAATTCTGCAAGCAGGTGCTTGGGGAGAGGGGGCGTGGAAAGGAGGCTGGAGGCTGGGCTCCCAGACCAGGAGAGACCTTCCCCCACCCCCCAGGGGCCAGGAGACACTGTGCTGGCATTTGCAAGCACAAAGACGTGCCACAATCTAGTATTATTAGGAACTATCTTCAATATGACAACGTGTAAATATGCATCATGACAACGGTAAGGTGGCAGGTGAAATATGCAAGGTCTTGAAAGCCTGCCTGAAATTTTTTCTTGTGTTGTGGAAGAGAAAGGCATCCTAGGCCAAGAGAATAGCATCGCAGAGACATGGAGAGGGGAGCTACGTGGTCCATACAGGAAAGTCAGTGAAAGGTGATGATGGTGATGATGATGGTGGCGAGAGCAGTCAACTTTTTTTTTTTTAAGTACTTATTATCAAGCTCTTTACAGAGAAACCTTGCCAGATTGCCTGATTTTTAAAATAATTTTATTTATTTATTAATTTTTGCCTGTTCTGCGTCTGCATTCCCGCACAGGCTTTCTCTAGTTGTGGCGAGCGGGGGCTACTCTCTAGTTGGGTGTGCAGGCGTCTCATTGCAGTGGCCTCTCTTGTTGCAGAGCACGGGCTCTAGAGCGCCAGGGCTTCAGTAGTTGTGGCTCACAGGCTTAGCTGCTCCTCGGCATGTGGGATCTTCCTGGACCAGGGATCAAACCCATGTCTCCTGCATTGGCAGGTGGATTCTTTATCGCTGAGCCACTCGGGAAGCTCTCAACACTTTTTTTACTTTTTCTGCCATGCCACATGGCTTGTGGGATCTCAGTTCCCTGACCAAGGATTGACCCTGAGCCATGGCAGTGAGTGCCTGGAATTCCAACCACTGGGGTACCAGGGAACGCCCGCAGTCAGCATTTGTTGAGCACTTACTATATGCTAGGCATGTAACCGGGCACTTTCCTGGCAGAGTCTCACCCATTTGGATGTGAGGAAGCAAGACTCCACAGCCTGTGCTTAGAATACATCAGCCCTGCTGTCTCCCACGAGTGAGGGGCTGGATGAGCTTTTCAGTTTAACAGGTGTTTCCGGAGCACCTGTTCTGGGCCGGGCCCTGGTCCTGGAAACCAGGAATACTGGGGACCAAGGCCTGGCCCCTGTCCTCAAATAGCTTGCCAATCACAGTCCAGGGCGGTGAGGGGGCAGCCAAAGAGGGCATGCACAGAGGGGCTGTGGATGGAGGGTTGCATGCGTGGCCTCCAGCCCTAAACAAATTGGGGGTGATGCCAGCTTTGCTGCTCAGAAGTCAATAGTGGCATGACCCTGGGCAAGCCTGTTGGTTTCTCTAAGCCTCTGTTTTCTCTGCTTAGAAGTAATAGTCCCAGCTCAGACTGTAAGGAAGGGCCACAGCCTTGGGGGTGCTCATCATTTTTAGAGGCCACATTTGCTTGCCTGGTAAGTGGTCCAGGGCACTGCCAGGCATGGCCTTGTCCGGAAGGGGCTCATATTGAGCAGGTGATCACTTGAAACCCATCCCCCTGACTGTGGTCTCTGCAGCCTCTGGGAGCTGGCGGAGGCTCATGGTAAAGGCTAACCAGGGCTTGGGGTTCACCAGGGTTCACTACCCTACTCCTGCATCAACCAGCTGGGTGACCCTGGGCAAGTGAGTTAATGAGCCTGGGCCTTAGTTTCCTCACATGTGAGATGGGTGAACCATAGAAAGTTGTCACGAGGATTCAATGAAATGCCACGTGTGATGTGTTGGGCATGGATTATGGCCACTGTGGGAACAGGAGGGCTTCCCGGAGGAGGGGATGGACTGAGCCGAACCTGGAAAGTGTAGATCGGGAAGGCCACTCTGGGGCACTGGACCAGCATGGGCAAAGGCTTAGAGGATGCCACCCACAACCTCCTCCTGGAAATCCAGGGACTGGCATTGAAGAGCATGGGTGGGTTCCAGGCCCTGCCTGTGTTTAGGAGACTAAGGGAAGCCAGAACCAACCGGGGCCCACATTGGTGTGTTTCCAGATGAGATCCAGAGACATATCCGTAGAGGAGTGGAAAGGCTCAGAGACCTACAGCCCCAACACCGCATACGGTAAGACCCCAGCCCTGACCCCACCTGCAGGAGCTATGGGCCTCGGGTCCCGGTCACAGCGTCCTGGCCAGGCAGCCTGTCCTGGGCTCTTTCCCCACCTGGAGGCTATTAGGGGAGGATAGGCCCGTAGGTGGGGGGTAGGCTGCAGGCTGGCGTGGGGATGTGAGCGCTTAGACCCTACTGCCTCTCAGGGGTGGACTTCCTGGTGCCCGTGATGGGCTATGTCTGCCGCATCTGCCGCAAGTTCTACCACAGCAACTCGGGGGCGCAGCTCTCACACTGCAAGTCCTTGGCCCACTTCGAGAACCTGCAGGTGAGTCCGGCCTCCTGCCCCGCCCGGCTCCGCCCTGCCCTGGGGGGTCAGGCTCCTTCCGAGCTGACGGGAACAGCCAGTGGCCACCTCCTTCCTAGGCTTGGCCTCAGCCCCTGGGCACAGCCCCCAAGGAGAGGCTCTACCCACAAAGGGAATCCGAACCAGGTTGGGGCCGAGGTCTTTTTGCAATTGTTCTGGAGCGGGTGGTGCTGAGGGCGGGAGGATTAGCACTAGAGGTCCAGCCCAGAGAGGCGAGCACATCACACAGGGTCACACAGCCTGTCCGACAGTCTCAGCGGGGCCGGGGAAGCAGCCTGCGGCCAGGGGCACACCAGGTGGGGAGGAAGCCCGGACGTCACCCGCACTCTCTATGTCCAGAAGTACAAGAAGGCCAAGAAACCCAGCCCCACCACCAGGCCCGTGAGCCGCCGGTGTGCCATCAATGCCCGGAACGCCTTGACGGCTCTGTTCACCTCCGGCGGCCGTGTGCCCAGCCAGCCCAGCACCCAGGACACAGCCAAAACCCCCAGCAAGGTGACATCCACACCCCGTCGGCCCCCACTGCCCCGGCGCTCCAGACGCCTCAGAACCTGACGGAGGGAGCACCCCATGCCCACCCCATCTCGGTCCCGATCGGCTATGCTTTTTAGGAGTCTGTGTGGAGACTTTGATATGGTTGGTATTTTTACTGAAAATCCAATAAAGGAAGGTAGTTTGGCCTGTGTAGTCTCCACCAGCACTTCTGTCTGCATGGAAAGGGGAAGGGGGGCCCCCAGCCAGCTCTCAGCTGGCGCCCAGCCTCTGCAGATAGTGAGGAGGCACAGGTGGAAAGCTGAAGACATGGTCCCTCACCAGGGACTCTGGGATTATGAGGTGTTTCACCTCCTGAGCCTCAGTTTTCCTCTTAAGCATGTACCCAGGCTAGGAAAGTACTACCTTCAAGTAAGATCTCATTTAATCTTCACAGTGTCCCCAGGAGGTAAGTCTTGTTGTTATACCCAATTTACAGATGAAGAAACTGAGGCCTAGCAAAGTCCAGTGCCTGCGGAAGGTCACACATCTGGTGACAGGCCAGGATTTGACCCCAAGCCTGAGCTCTGGACGCCCATCCTGGCCTCTCTCTAGCTGGACCTTACCAAAGTTGGTGCAGGAGTGGGGGGTCCTCACTGTTCAGGCCCTCTGGCTCCAAGTTCATATTCATTAGCAGAAGCTCCACCCTTCTTGTCAGAAGACCTTATGATGAATCATTAGTGAGTGGAGCCCTGGCTGAGCAAGCTTTTTAGTTCTTCCCCATCTGGAAGGACCCTTAGAGACAGACAACCAGACCAGCCCTTTGATTGGCCAGATGGGGAGACTGAGGACCAAGACTGAGGATCAAGAGCTGGAGGGCAGAACCCAAGGCTACACAGCATATCTTGGTCTTGGTTGTCTTGCTGATAGGCCCTAGAGCCCAGAGAAGCTGAGCACATCACCCAGGGTCACACAGCATTGCTGATGCTGTCTCAGCTGGTCTGGGGGAGCAACCTCTGGCCAGGAGCATATCCAGTGGAGAGGAAGCCCTGACCTCACCTGCACCTCTGTGCCCAGAAATACAAGAAGGCCAAGAACCTCAGCCCTACCACCAGGCTTGTGAACCATCAGCGTGTGATCAATGCCTCCACTGCCCTGTTCACCTCTGGCGGCCACTGGGGTCCTCATCCCAGGATACAGAAGAGAAGGCACAGTGGTGTTGGAGACCCGTTTAATGTGGACAGTCAAGGCCTGGGCAGAGTGGGGAGCGTCCAGGAGTTGGGCAGGCAGGCATGCTGGGTGAGCCGCTGGCCCACACCTGGCTCCAGGAGGGGATGCTGGGAGGTGGGGGCTGGCCCAGGCACACCAAGGGAAGTACCAGAAAGGTGGCCTAGGCATGCGGAACCCCCAGGAGATCTGTCGGCCAGCCCCTGAGAAGGTATCTAAGCCAGGTGGTGAGTGTTCAGGCCAGAGCCTGGACCAGCAAGGCAGGGTTGGGGCCTGGCTGGGGGCCCCCAGGGCCTAGGGGTTGGCATCACTTGGGGTCTCCCCAAGCTGCTGCTGGAACTCAAGGCGAGTCTGCCGGTTGGATTCAAGCAGTTCCTGGAGGCGGGCATGGAGGTGGTCATTCTTCTCCTCCAGGTGGTCCAGACAGGAGTTGATCTGGTCCAACATGGAATTGATGGCAGCGTATTCTGGAAGGAAGGGGAAAGACCATCAAGGTCCCATATCTCCTCAGAGCTCACAGGCGCCCTCCCCACCACCACCATTGTCTGCCAGCCTGTTTCAAAAAGGGCTTTGGGCAAGTCCCTACTCCTTCTTGAGCCTCACTGTCATCATCTGGAAAATGGGTGTATATCGAAAGAAGAAAGGCATTGGAGAAATAGCTTAATGTGCCATCTTTTTCTAGGGTTAGGGTGGTCATAGGGAGGTCAGGCAGACAGTGTCCAGCCTGGGAAGTCCTGCCAGATGCCGAGTCTCTCTACTTCCTGCATCAACTGCCTAGAGGCCAGAGCCCATGTGCCTGAGTCAGGCAATCCAGGCCTCTGTCCCCAGGCAGACCCTACTCTCTAGCCCTGCCTGGCTCCCCTGCCCTCAGAATAAGGTTCCTGGCAGACTCCCAGGTCCTGCTTCCTCCTCTTACCCCCCTCCCCTGCCTTCTCCCTTCTTCTCTCACACCTGCCTTTGCCCACCTCAGGCCCCTTGAACCTGCTGTGGTCTCTGCCTGGAGTATGCCGTGTCCTCCTCTGTCTTGCTTCCCTTCTCTTCTCCTGGAGGAGCCCCACCCATCCTTCAAGTGTAGCGCGGATGGTGCCCCAGCCTGGGTCAGGCCTCTATTCCTGACCCCCTTGCTCTCACAGCTCCATGGCCTTCATCTCCGGCTCGATTGCTGTGATTGTGTGCCGGTCTGTCTCTCCCACCACACTATAGTGAGTGCTCTGCGAGAGGGGTCCTGTGTCCACTGCTGTTTCCCCAGTACCCTCACTGTCACACAGTGAGCATTTGTTGAATGAATGGATGAATGAATGGAGCCTGACTTTCCAGCCTTCTGCCTTTTCTCAACTGACCCTGCCACCCTGAATGCTTCAACCACAACAGCCATTCAAGGACCGGCTCCAAATGCCTCTTCTTCCAAGAAGCCTTCCCTAGTCTCCATCAGAAACCATCACTCTCTCCTCCACTGACACTTCTGACCTGCCTCTCTCAGCAACACAGTGTCTCTTAGGACCCAAGGTCTGGGCCTGTGCCCACTGCGGGACCCAGTTCTGAGCCAGCCCATGACTCAGATACACTCAGCTGCCAGCTTGGGACAAAGGGGAAGTGGCTGGCGGTGTGTGGGAATGGCCAGCGTCAAAAAAGTGTGTCTGGGATAAGGGTGCAAAGGTTTCTGCCTTCTGGGGGAAGGGTACCCATTGGTCAGAGTTGTCCTAACTCACAGAGGACAGAGTCGGAAAGCCTCTGTTGGATCTTAGAGTCCAACTCCCTTGTGGTACAAATGGGGAAACTGAGGTCCAAGAAGGAAGACACGTGCCTAGCGTCCTGCAGCTGGTTGGTGGTACTAGGGGAGCAGGGGCACTTGGGTTTCAGTCCCAGTTCCGCTCCATCCCAGCAAGTTACTGCACTTTTCTGGGAAAAGGGGACAAAAAGTAGGTTATTGTGAGACGTCAAATACATATATCAAGAATTCAGGGTCTGGCCACAGCAAGCACTTAGTAGATGGTCACTATTAGCAACATTTCATATTCTGGTCAAGAGACCCAAGTGGGGAGGAGGCTGGGGGAGGCGGGTGTCTCCACTCCTGGGGCTGGGCTTTGTCTGAGTCAAGTGTCAAGGGTACCTCTCAGTTCCAAGTCTTTGCCTTCCGTTGAGGACACCCTCTTCCTTTATGTCCCAAGCCCTGTCAATCTGCCAACTTCCATTCAACATGACTCCTGGGAGGTCCTTCCAGATGCCCCCATCACAGTTCCCAGCACCTCACCTGGCTGCTCTTCACCAGCAGTGCCCAGGGGGAACTGGGCAGCCCACTGCTTACCCCATTTGCTCTACCTCTTTATTAATAAAAATGCAGATCTTGAGTGAGGAAGTGTTCTAAAACTATTGTGGTCTTGATGGATGGGTGCACAACTCTGATTATCCTAAAACCCACTGAATTGTACAATTTAAATAAGTTAATTGTATAGTTTGTGCATTATCGCTCAATAAAGCTGTTACCCAAAACAGCCAAAAGCAGAGTCTATACTTAGCCCGCATTCACTAAGTCCTGACCTCTAAGTTAATACACTAATCTTTATTACACTAAAGGGACTAACCATTTACAGAACACTTGCATGCTTGGAGCCTACTATTCATTCGTTTTCTCATTTAATCCTGATACATCTCAGTGTGGGTGGACACTAAACCATTATTCTTATTTTACAGATGGGGAAACTGAGTCTCCAGAAAGTGATAAGGGAGCTGATCTTTCTCTCTCCTTATCCAGCCTCCTACCTCCCCCACCCGTTACCCCTCGCAGTGCTGTGCAGGCAACAGGATGCTGGGTAAGCAAGTCACATTCGCCTGGACTCCAGACCACTACCAGCAAAGGTGGCTGGGGATGCTGACTCAGCAGGGTGGCACGCCCACCAAGATAGCCCCTTGTGCTAACCCAGGAGGGTCCACACCCAGCCTCGCCCCCTTAGGAGTCCCCATCTCCACAGGGGCTGAAAGAGGTGGTTGAAGTAGGTCCTAATCCACCGCCCCCCCAAAAGCGAGTGATCCCTGAAGCGGCCTCAGTTTCCTCATCTGTAAAACAGGCTCGACTGACCACAGTTCTCCAGGGCTGCGGTTTCCAGGGGCCAGCTCGCAGGTGCTCGCCCCGATTTTCAGGAAAGCGCCTGCAGCTCCGGACCCTCCCTGGGGCGGGGGATGGGAGGGCTCTGCAGTTTCTTTCCGGCCCCTATTCCTCCTCCCAGGAGGGCACCCCCGAGAAAGCAAACGTCGCTTCAGCAGCTCCCCCCACCCCACCCCGAGTCACCTGCTTCCCCGAAGCCGTCTTCCTCGCCTTCCGCGCCCGCCTCCACCGGCGTGCCCAGGTCCCCGTTGGGGCCCGACATTGCGGGCTCGGGCGCCGCAAGGGCCACGGGATGATGGAACGCGGCGACCGTCTCGCCGACTGCCGGCGCGGGGCGGAAGGTGGAGGCGGTGAATGGAACTCCGAGCCGGAAGGGTGGAACACCGCGGTGGAAAGCGCCGGGGCGGCCGGGACCCGCCCCTAAGGCGGAGCCCGGAGGCTGGAGCTCCGCCTCCACTGTGCCCTGCCTCCAGAACCCCGCCCCCGGCTGACCGCAAGGCTCCGCCCCCACAGAGCCCCGCCCACACCCTGCCTCACAGTCGAGCTCCGCCCACTTTGGCCGGTTTCCCCAGGCCCGCCCCTCTTGTGGCGGCCAAGTTGGACCATCCAGGGCGACCTCCAGGAGAATCTTAGGCGGTGGAGGCTCGGCCTTCACCTCGGGCAGCGACCTGGCACGAGGGCAGGGCAGCTGGGACCCCTACTTTTCCCTAGCTAGCGGGCGCCTGCCCATGGGCGAAATCTGAGACGCGTTTCTAAGGCCCCAATGTATAGAGCCTACAATTTTTGCAGTAGTCATGTGTGGATGTGAGAGTTGGACCATAAAGAAGGCTGAGCGCCGAAGAAGATGCTTTCGAACTGTGGTGTTGGAGAAGACTTGAGAGTCCCTTGGACAGCAAGGAGATCAGTCACTCCTAAAGGAAATCAACCTTGAATATTCATTGGAAGGACATGCTGAAGCCAAAACTCCAATACTTGGGCCACCTGATGCGAAGAGCCGGCTCGTTGGAAAAGACCCTGATGCTGGGAAAGATTGAAAGCAGGAGGAGAAGGGGAAGACAGAAGATGAGATGGTTGAATGGTATCACCGACTTGATTAATATGAGTTTGAGCAAGCTCCAGGAAATGGTGAAGGACAGGGAAGCCTGGCATGCTGCAGTCTATGGGGTTGCAAAGAGTTGGACAGGACTGAGCGCCTGAACAAAAACAACAATGTATAGGGACAGTATCCATTCACAGCCTCCTTGAGAGTCATAGTCAGCAGAGTGCAGCTTGTGGCTGTCAGTCAAGAAAGGCGTCGAGATAAGGTCTGCCCAGCTGCCATGATACCTTACCCTTTTTATCAGCTTGGAAAGGGAGCCCTGCCACAAGTCATCCAGCCAGAAATTCTCTCTTCTGAGCTGGCCCCACAGGTGTGATCCTGGCCAGGGACACAGCTGAGTCAGGCTCATGTCCAGGGGAGAGGGGCTTACTTACTGGGACTCGTCACTGTAACTGCTCCGAGGCCTGGTTCTGGTCTCACACTGGTAATCCTGCCAGAAGGCCATCCTTCAGGTAGGGGTCAGGCCCAGGTGTGTTCCCTGATGATGACAACAAGGAGGGATCCTCTCTGTCCCAGAAGCTGCCTTGCTGTTTCTCCTGAGGAACGTGGAGGATGCAGTTGTGTCCCCAGTCAGCACCACCGCTGCATTGCATGATGTCAGCCCCACCTTCTCCCTGAACCAGGTGGAGTGGAGGCGAGGCCCATGCTGAACCAGATGGGAAGAATTGTAGTGAACAATCCCTCACCTGGGTCAGCTCACCCTCCTTGACTATAAGGGGTGGGTACCTCTCCTCCCATTCCCCTACCTGCCAAGCCTCCACTTGCTCCCCACCACCTGAGGCACACTCCCCAGCCCTCTCTGAAGGTACTGTGCCCATGGATGGAGCAGGTGGCAGGTAGCACCCGGGCCACTCCTGGAGAGGGAGGAGTCTTGGCTTCGGAAGGGTGCTGGGAGTGTGCCTGGGGAACTGGGCACTCAGATGGGTGGACATGTGCCATCAGGTGTCCCCGAGCAAGCTCCATGCATGAGCGTTCCCAACCACCTGCTGCGTCTGTGTGGTGTGTACCCTACGTGTGTTGGCATGTTTCTGGGAACCTGTATGTCTCTCTGAAGGTCTGCTGCTCCTTGTGCCCGGGTGTCCTCCTGTTTCACCCCTTGTATGTGGACTCACACACAGAGTGGACCCCTATGATCCCAGGTATGATTTCACATCTGGGAGAAAACAAGTGCCTGTGTTTTTCTTTGGGTGTCCTGTGCTTGTAAGGATATGTGTGTGTGGATTGCGTCAGCATGTCCACATATGTCATCTGTGTTTCTGCCATGTCTCTGCACACTTGTGTGCTATACACAGACGCAGGTGTTTCTGTGCCCATCAGAGGACACAGGGCTCTTCTGTCTTAGTGAAATACCATGGTCGCTGGGAGGGCCTCTCACCAGTCTGCCAAAGGCAGGTGCCCAGCCCTCCTTTCTCAGCCTTGCTCACTCCTCTGCCAGGCATTCAACCCCCTCTTTCCAGGGAGACAACCCAGCCCCAGACAGTACCACCTCCGCAACCCCAGGACTCCCATCCCATCATGGGAACCAGGTAGGGGAGGCCCTCAGCTTGTCCTCTTAGAAGTCAGACTCCATGGAGAACTGGGGACGACCCCCACCATGGTATTCAAGGAGCAGCCTTTCTTCTGGACCTGAGCGTGTGCCTGGGGCCTTGAGCCTGGGGCTAGAGATCTGGGCAGAGGGAGGCAGGTGGGAGGAAAGGAGAGAAGAACCCAGCCAAAGCCTCATCCCCAGGCAGTGAGTGAGGGTGGGAGGATGGGGAGCTGGATCATGCAGGTGATGAAGCCCGCTACCTGGCTGGCCCCTTCTCTACTCCCAGAAGCCAAAGCGAACCTGGACCCTGCCCACGCCACTCCTGTGGTCAAGGTTCACACACCAGACCACAGGACAATGCAGCCGCTACACCAGCCAGCCTCGATCAGAGGTGGGGACCTGTCCCTAGGGTCCCGTTCACCTCTCACTCCCCATCTCACAAAGTCTGTCATCATTCCCCCCCACCCAGCGCAGTGTGGCAGGCTGAATAGCAGTCCCTGAAGACAACTGGGTCCTAGTCCTTGAACCTTTAGAGTCCCTTAAACAGCACAGAGATCAAATTAGTCAATCCTAAAGGAAATCAACCCTGAATATTCATTGGAAGGACTGATGCTGAAACTAAAGCTCCAATACTTTGGCCACCTGATGCTGTGAAAGATTGAGGGTGAGAAGGGGCCACAGAGGATGAGATGGTTGGATGGCATCACTGATTCAATGGACATGAATTTGAGCAAACTCTGGGAAATAGTGGTGGACAGAGGAGCCTGGTGTGCTGCAGTCCATGAGGTCACAAAGAGTTGGACACGACTTAGTGACTAAACAACGAGTCCTTGGAACCAGTGAATGGTACCTTATCTGGGAAAGGGGCCTTTGCAGAGGTGACAAAGTTAAGAATTTGAGAAAGAGATTATCCAGGATTATCACAGTTTAAAAAGGTGATTGGGTGGGTGTGCAAGTCTGAGGGTGGAGAAGCCTGGGTTTTTTCAGAACCCTGCCTCTCCAGCCTCTGATCTTGCAACTGGAAGAAGAGGCAGGGAGGGGTTTCCTGATGCCGATAAGGAGGGGCTCCAGCTCCAGCTTGTGGGTGAACAAGGGCTTGTCAGGCCCAGCCAAGTGGTGGGTGCAGGCCTGGAGCCCTTGAGTCTTCTAGAATCTGGATTCCTGATGGTGTATTCGTCTCCCTGTGGCCCCCAGCTCTGCCCTTGGTGGTCTGGAGGTCATTATGGAGGGGGAGGCGTGGGTGAGGACAGGACGCTGAATGGGCTCAGCATGGTCACAGCCACCCACCAGTGGGAGCCAGAGAGTGATCCCTGGGCCAACCAGGGGCAGGGAGGTTTGGCTATCAGAGGGGCAGGGGACCACGCCTGAAGACGTTCCCTCCCCTGCCACAGCCTCAGGCTGGGCGTGCCTCTGCCCCACCACTGTGCATCCCTCCTGCCCTAGCTGCCATCTTCCAGCACTCACAGGGGTCCTGAGGAAGTTGAGTGTGATAGCACCTCAGCCCTCGCAGCCCCCCTCCAGCTCCCCGTCCCTGGCTGAGCCTCTGTGGTGGTGCCTGTTGCAGGTGGCCAAACGTGGAAATGAGGTGTGACCCCTTCAGTGTTTCTGCTGGACCAGTCACTCCTTGAAGTCAGGGTCATGTGAGGCCTGCTGCTGGCCTGGGGTGGGGGGCTAGGAAGGGTTCAGCCAAAGGACCCGAGGGCCTCCGGGAGCCATGCTGATGTGAGCCCAGCCTTTGCCTGTCCTCTTCCCAGCGGCCCAGGAGTCCAGGAGCACAGTCAAGCAGCGCAGACTAGGGGCGGGGCATGTGTTTATTTAGCAGGCAAGGCGGGGCTGCATCTTCCGGGCTGCAGCCCAAGGAGCTGCTGGGGGGCAGACCCGGAGAAGGGCCTCTGGGCTCTCTCCTGTCACTGGTGTCCAGGCTGGTGGGGGGGTTAACTGGGCGCTGGGTCAGGCAAAGGCTGGCATGAGGCGGGTGGGAGCAAAGAGAGACGGGAGGCACCTGAGAGGGAGACGGGGAAGTAGAGACAGCAACTGTCCTGGGTGGGGGGGCGCAAAGGTAGTTTGAGACCCCAGGCCCACTGCACCCCCTTGGCTCCCATCTGCCCCCGCTCCCCAGCCGTACTCACTGCAGGTTCACTGGTCATCGATGCACCGGTCTGTAGGGGAGAGAGTCTGTCAGAATGGGCAGGGGTGTGTCTATGTGTGTGTGTGTGTGTGTGTGTGAGAGAGAGACTTCTGCCCACTGGGATGCCTGCCCTGCCCCTGGGCACCCCAGGCTCCAGCCTGGCCCAGCACCTGCAGATCTGGGAGTTCCATTCAGGGCTGGGAGCAGGGGTTTGGGAGGAAGGCCTCAGGATGAGCAGCTTGGGGGCACCCCGTTCAGAGCAGGCCAGCGAGGCCCTGCCACACATCCGCTCAGCCACCAGGCTGCCCACCTGTTTACCTGCTGGACCCTGGCAGACCCCCAGCTATGGGGGTCTGCTGGCTCCCTGGGCGGCCCGGCTGGAGCCCCATGTCCAGACCAGGCTGCCTGAAGACAAGGCCGCCTTTCAAGTCAGTGGTGAGCAGGCCTTAAGGCGAGGAGGAAAGGGGCCCCAGACAAGGGGGAGGGAGGAGGAAGTGGTCCCAGATAGTCAGGGCCTGGATCGTAGGGAGAAGGGGACCCCAGGGCCGACAGACTGGGAAAATTTCGATGTGGGTCTGAAATCCTCATCTGTCAAGGAGGAACACTTGGGGCCCAGATCCCTGGGTGCCCCTCAGATCCCTGGGTTGGGGCAGGGTCTTCCTGAACCCAGAGTGGCTCCCAGAGAGGGGCTTCAGGGACAGAGCAGAGGGCCAAGCCCTTCCTCCGCCCCCCTCTCCCTGGGAGGCAGGGGGGGATAGCAGTGGGCCTGGACAGTCCACACTGGCCATTACCGATCGGGACGGTGAAGACAATGTGGTCATCAGTGAGGCGCAGGGACTTGGCGAAGTTGATGAAGTTCTCCTTCAATTCAGGGCTCAGCTCCTTGGTCCTCCCTGTGGTCAAGGTGGCCAGCGAGTGGCCAGCAAACACTCTCTAAACATTGCTGGATGTATGAACAAGGCCTCTGACCCCTTCCTCATGGAGGGTCTGCAGAAGGGCCTCCCTCCCTGGACCCCCGCAGGGGCTCGGAGCTGAACTGGAGAGGACCTGGGGGGCTGGGTGGGGATGGGTCCCTGAGGTCGCAAAGGAAGGACCCACCGTAAAGGGTGGTCTTGAAGTACCCCTGTTTCTTTTGAACCTTCTTGAAGAACACTATGGCAAACTGGTTGTAGTCGGTGTTCACCACCCGCACGGTGTAGCTCCTTATCCCAGGGTAGCCTGCGGGGAAGATGGGAAGGACAGGGAGGGGTCAGCCGCCCCTGCTGGGAGGAGGGAGCCACTTTGTCTACACGGGCTCTCCGCACAGAACAGCATCCGTGTGGAGGGGCGGGGAGGACTGTGCCCCTTCTAGGAGGATCCTGCCTGCCCCCACCTCCTGGAAGCCCAACCCCAGGGCCCACCTCCCTCAGGACTCACTCTTAATATTGCCAAGGGTGAACTGGCCGGGCCGGGAGCTTGGGACAAAAGTTCTGATCCAGTAGTCACAGCCCTCGTCCCTGTGGGCGAGAGATGGGTGAGTGAGGGCAGAGGGGACAGGGGCTTGCGCTCCTGGGGCTGGACATGGTCGGGGCTAGGGCTGCAGCTGGAGGGACTGGGATTCTGACGCTCCTGGTTTGGCCCAGCCCAAGACAGCCCATCCCCCACCACAGCAGGAGGTCCCCTCCCCACCCAGCTCAGATGGGCCTCTGAGCCGACCCCTGGGTGTCCCTGCCCGGTCCTCCCTGGGCCACCTGACCCTGCTCAGATCCTCCTTCTAGCACCCACTGTCCTTTCCTCTTCAGGGCTGTCTCCCCTTGGTGGTCTTCTCTACACTCTGTCCCCCACCCCATTCCTCAGGCATTTATCCCCTACTGTCTTCCCTCTGCTGCTTCCCTGTCTGGAAACTCTCCTGGGGGACTCACCCTCCAAGGTTCCAGTCTGCTCCATGCCAAGGACTCCTCTAGCTCCTGGGTCAACCCTGACCTGAGTTCCACCCTCTCCCCTGGTATTCCGGAGCTTATCTCCCCAAACCCATCCTCCCTCTGCTTCTTATTGCACACATGCTCCAGCCTCAGTCTCCCTGGGTGCCAGAGAGGCTGGGTGATCCTTGGCAGCCACCGTTTGTCTCTCCACCACACCCAGAGTTTCCCTGCTCAGACCCACTCCTCACCAGATCACTTCTGCGCTGGTGTCTGAGGACCCTGGCAGTGTGTGGGCTGCCCCCCTTGCCAAGCCACTCATCAGCTCCTGCTGGGTAGCTGGATGATGACTTGCTGCTTCCTGAAGGAGTGCTTCCCTCTGACTCAGAGTCCACCAATCCTTGCTATGGATACTCTATGCCTCCTTCCGAGGCAGAGTGGCTCCTTCAAGGCCCAGTTCTGGAGGCTACCTCCCTGTAAACCCTCAATGAAGACCTGGGTGGGGTTCCAGGCTGGATTCAGGGACCCTCTTCCCCACCCAGGAGAACCCTGCTCTCTCTCTGTGTCTTGTTTCCTGATGCCTATGTCCATGCCCAGCACTGTCTATCTGCACTGAAATGACCAATAAATGATCTGATGAAGGAAGAGGGCTTCCCTGGTGGCTCAGTGGTAAAGAATCCACCTGCCAGTGCAGGAGATGCGGGTTTGATCCCTGGACCTGGAAGATCCCCTGAAGAAGGAAATGGCAACCCACTCCAGTATTCTTGTCTTGATAATCTCATGGACAGAGGAGCCTGGAGGGCTACAGTTCAAGGGGTCGCAAAGGGCCGGGCACGACTTAGCGACTAAACAATGCAGGAAGAAATGAACAAATATTAATATCTGAATCCACTGCTGAGCAGAAGGATGAGTGACTGCCTCTCCTCTGGTCAGCCCTTGACTGTGACATGAAATCTGCCTCTAGACACTCAGGCAGCCCCTCGGGTCTCCCCCACTTTCCCCAAGGAGATGGCAACTCTCACCTTAATAGGGTGGAGGTGACGTTGTAGCTGCCGTCTTCCTTCAGCTCGTAGTTTGAGGTGTACATCTTAAACTGGTCTTGCTCTTCCTTCTTAATTGCATTCCCCGCCACGCCTATGACGTACCACTTCCCCTGGAACTACAGGGGGGACTGTAATAGGCAGAATCCACAAACCACCCTAGAGCCCCCTACGGCACTGTCCCTGCAGGCACCGCTGGCAGCTTGCCCCCGAGCCAGGAGCCCCTCTCACTGAGCAGCAGGCCTGGGGCTGGGCATTCAGTTCCTGGACTAGGAACTGAAGTAGTGGGAGCCAGTGGGAGCTGGGGGAGGCCAGGCAAGGAGGGAGCCCGGAGAATGGTAGGGATGGGGTGTCCTCCCTGGACCTCAGTTTCCTTCTCATGCAGAGGACTGAAGGCGTTCCCATCATCCACTCACTACAGAGATGATGGGAGAGAGTGTGGACCTGGGGAAGATCTGTCCAGGTGATTCTCTTGCCAGCAAGGTCAGGGTCAATGCGGGGCCATGGAGCCTGGCTTCCATCAGGGGGCCGGAGGGCAGGCTGAGCTGAATGAAGCCTGGGCATCCTGCCCTTGCAGGTACGCTAAGACCCTTCACCTCCCGTCCCCTCTGCCCACACGCTTCCCTGCCCGCCCCCTGCCACTGTCCCTCCGGGGCCCTTACCTGGTCAGCCTGGAAGTTGGGCTGCAGCGGAATCTTGGACAGAGCTGGGGCCCGCAGCAGTCTGGGGGTGGAACTCTGGGCCTGGGTGTGCAGGGTCCCCAGGAGGGTGAAGCCCAGCCACAGGAGAGCTACGGACATGGTTTTGGGGCAGAAGAGGCCGGCAGTCCAGGCAGCAGCTAAAGGAGGAAGCGAGTGAGCAGGCTCTCTGGGGGGACCATATTTATGGTCCACCTGACCCGTGGCCCACCCCAGGGTGGAGTGATTCAAATTTTGCCAAATCCCGGAAGGGTGAGGCAACTGCCAGCACTCCTGCTGAAATACCTGGCAAGATTCTGCCCCTTTCCCCGCTGGTCAGGATTGTGCAAGACCAGGGGCCAGGGGGTGGGGAGGGGATCTTCCCCGGAACTCCGCAACCTCTGGCACTGGCAGGGACCAGGGCTCCCTCCACACCCGCTCTGTGCCCCTTCCCTTCACTCTGCTTGGCTCTGTATGTGGTTGGTGGTCCCCGATCCAGACGAGCAGTCATCTCTGGCTTCCAGGAGCCCCAGCTCAGCCCTAGCCCAAGGTGGGATATGTGTGATGAGACTCCTGCTTCCAACCCCCCAGTGAAAATAGAGAAATACTCACCCTCGCAGCCCATGTAGTCAAATAGGCCTGGTTCTCAGAAGGGACAAGGAAGTGTGGGGCAGCTGAGAGAATTCTGACCAGGAAGGACAGAGTGTGTGGTGTGAGCCCTGAGCTCTTGGAGCCCAGATCCTGCCCCCTGACCCCCCACCCAGGGAGCCCCACCCCAGGCCAGAGGCTGAAGGACACACGCCTTCCTCGAGTCGGCCCCTCCTCTCCTCCAGCCCCTAAAGTACTTGGCCCCTGCTGTGGGTCCAGTAGATGAGACCCCCAAGCTGGACACCAGAGCCCCAGGTGTGGATGCTCAGCAAAGCAGGGCATGGATGCTACAGTCCAGGTGCCATGTTGGTGGGGTTGGGGAACAGCACAGGGTGAGCTGAGGCCTGAGGTCAGGCCATCCACTGGGCTGCTCCGGACACCAAGTGCTTTGAGTCACAGGGAGTGCAAGGACTTGGTCCTGTCTTTTTATTTTTTTTTTTAAGGTGAACCATTTTTAAAGTCTTTAAAGTCTGTACTGTAACAAACAGTCATTTGTTACAATACTGCTTCTGTTCTATGTTTTGACTTTTTGGCTGAGAGAGGCACGCAGCAGGTGGGATTCTAGCTCTCCAACCAGGGATTGAACCCCGCCCCACCTCTGCATTAGAAGGTGAAGATTTTTTTCTTTTTCATTTATTTCATTTTGGCCACACTGGGTCTTCTTGCTGTTCAGGGACTTTCTCTAGTTGCAGTTAGTGGGGGCTTCTCTTTAACTTTTTTGTCTCAGTGGCTTTCCTTGGTGCAGAGTGTGGGTTCACGGGCTTCAGAGTGCAGGCTCGGTAGTTGTGGCGCTTCAGCTGGGTTTAGTTGCCCTGGGGCATGTGGGGTCTTCCCGGACCAGGGATGGGACCCATGTTGTCCCCTGCCTTGGCAGGCAGATTCTTAACCATGGGACCACCAGGTGAGGAAGATGAAGTCTAAACCATCAGACTGCCAGGGAAGTCCCCTTGACCTTCTCTCTCAGAGGTCATTAGGCCATGTGCAGACTCTGGCCACAGTCCAGTGGCCTGGGCCTGGGACCCCAGAAATATCCCTGCCTTGGCTGATCCCAGCTTTGTCCTTGAAGGGAGGCAGTTTCCTCCCTGGTGTCCTGGCCATCCTTGGGAGGCAGCGGCGAGTCCCAGTCCCTGGGCAGAGTCACCCAAATTGCTCACCGAGAGATAAGGTCATCTGGAGGCCTGATCTGTGGCCGAAACTGAGGGTCCACTGGCCCCAAATAAGACTGCCAGGGGCCTCGTTGACTCTCCCCACCTGCTGCTTGGAACCAGCTCCCCCGGCCTGGCTCTGGGGTGCCGGGCCCTGAGGGAAGAGGCTTTGGAGGGGTCCTGAGCTGGTGGGTGGGTTGGATCCTCCTGAGGCAGAGAGGTCCCCACAGGACCCCTGCCCCCTCAGGCCCTGCCCTCTCCGGTGGTGAAAGCACAGGAAGCAGAGATGAGCAAAGCTTCTTCAGGATGTTACCACTGAAGCCCGCCCGCGCCCTCCGGAGGCACCAGAGGCCATCCCACCCCTTTCGTCCTTGCTCGAGGCCTCAGGGCCTGCACTGCTGCTGCTCTCTTTGACCTTAAAAGGAATCCTCGAGTCCGTTGTTGGTCAGTTGCTAAGTCTTGTCCAATTCTTTGCAATCCCAGGGACTGCAACACGTCAGGTTCCTCTGTCCTCCCTGTCTCCTGGAGTGTCCTCAAATTCATGTCCATTGGGTCTGTGGTGACTGCTAGATGTCGGGGAGGCGATGGATGGCGCTCCAAAGAATTTAAGTCGGAGAGGGGCAATGCCTTGGATCACCAAGGAACCACTGCAAGGAATATTCTAGATTCTAAAAGTCAGGTTACTCTTAAAAAGAAAAAGGAGTGGGTCCTAAAATAAAAAAAAACAAAACTAACGAATGAGACGGAGGGAGGGGTGACCTGTTCTCTTCAGTGTTTTAAGATTTCCCATTGACGTCGATAACCAATAAATGTGAAGACCTGATCTGATTGAGCAATCTCAAAAAAAAAAAAAGTCAGGGTGAGAGAATTCCCTGCTGGTCCAGTGGTTAAGCTGGGTGCTTTCACTGCTGCGGGTCTGGGTTCAACCCCTAGTCTGGGAACTAAGATCCCGCAAGCCAGGCAGCATGGCAAAAAATGAAAAATAAATAAAAGTGAAGGTGGCCAATGCTCCCTGGGTATAAATTGGGGAGGGGGGTTTGGGCTGGGTCTGCAACATGTGAAAACCAGGACCTGGACAGGAGTGGGGACGGGCCAGTTGCCCAGCTCAGGGGCCCCTGTTTGAATCCTGACTCCTCCAGGTGTTTGTAAATCTCTGTCCACTTATCCCGACCCCCTCAGTTTCCCCCTCTGTAAAGAGAGCTTCCCAGCAGATCCTGTGAAGCCACGTGGCCGGTGCATATACATGGGGTCACCTCTGAGCTTCTGACCAAACCCTCGCGGGGCCCATCTCTCTGTGCTGGCTATAGGCCTTTTTCAGACCCACTGGCCTTCTCTGTCTCCCTGTCCTTATTTCTGTGTGGTCTCGGCCTTTGCTGACACCTGGTGATGGCTTTACCCTTCATCACCTGGCTGCCACTGCCTTCTCCCCTGGCCCAGCCCTGAAGGTTGGCCCAGTCCAGGAGCCAGGGGAAAGGTGAAATGGGTGAGGCTTGTACAGAGTCTCAGTGGTGTGCCACGGTGCCAGCCATACCTCGTGGGGGCCGAAGGATGGTCGTGGCCTTGGCCAGAGCAGAGGTCAGGCCAATCCCAGCCAACAGGAGGTGGGTTTGGGGATGTGTGGAGCTGTAGGGGCGCAGGGGATCAGCCAGGGTGCTTGCTGCAGTCTGCCTCAGGAAGGGAAGGGTCCTGTGGGCTGGGCTGGGGATAAAGGTCCTGCCCACCCTCTTCGGAGTCCAGCTGGGCTTCGGGGATGGGTCAGCTCAGCACGCATACTGCCTTGCACGAGCTGCAGACCCAGGTGCTAGGAGGGTTGGGTGAGGATCGTGGTGTAGACCTCCTGTTTAGACTTGGACCCTGGAGGCCTCGTTCCTCACCCAGCCCCCCTCCCTCTGAACCCGGGCCCTGGCCAAGGAGGGCACTCGCATGTCCACCTTGCCCAGAGCCGGGAGCAGTTCTTGAACTCCAGGGCTTCAGAAAGTTCTAAACTGCACGCCTGGCCCCGTGTGGGCGCCCCAGGTGCCTGCCTGACTCCCCTTGGCCTCTATCTTGGTTTCCACTGTGGCTCCTGGGCTGGTCTTACAGGGCCACCCTCGCTGGCTTTCCCTACCGTCTCTCTAGGAGCTGCAGATGCCCTGAGTGAGGCCATGACCAGCACACAGGAGTCTCGGGGCCAAGCCCCTCCTAGGAGAAGCCAGGGCTGGACCTGCTCTGGGTCTCTTCAGCAAAGGCAGGAACTTAAAAACCACCCACACCTGCCTCTCTGTGGCAAGAGGCCAGGAGAAGCATGGCTGCTCTGAATTTGTTCTGGCAGGCAGCTCTCTCCTCTACATGCCCCAGGGAGAAGCTCCCGGGGGCTGCTGGTGTGGTCTAATCCAATCAGGAAATCAGTCAAATGCTCTCTGACAGGTTTTGCATCTCAGGAATCCAGTCTAACCTCCTGGACTCGTTTCTGGAAGCTTGGGAGCCATGTTCCGTCCAATCTGGGGTGTTTGGGGCAAAAACAGCCCTCTCTTCCCGACTTGAAGGGCTGAGTGGGAGGACCCCAGGCAGGGGCCACGAGGTTCCCCAGAGCGGGGCCACACCTGGGAGCAGTTTGCAGGGAAGATGCCCCCAGGAGGCCAGTCATAGGGGCAGGAACTCTTGGGGTCCACCGATGGACCCTCCTTGGCCACTGCAGGTCTAAGAAGGAGGAAGGACTGTTCGATGTGAGGGGCCTGCTCTTCCCGGGACTTGACTGGAATCTCAAGATTCCAGAAGCAACTTTCCAACCCCCATCACTCATCTCTCAGCCAAGACTCACTGGAAGATCTCCTGGTTCCTGCCCTCTCCACATACCAGAGACCCTAGCTGTGGCAAAGCTCAGAAAGGTAGCCCCTACTGACACCCCCCCCCCACCATATGCCCCCAGATTCCTCACTCTGGGGAAGTCTGTGGGGTCTACCAGGCAGCAGCGACAGCAGCAGCGTGAGGTCTGGGCCCAGGTCCTTCTGCTTCTGGTCCTCGGGTGCCTGTCCCATGCATGCACCTTAGATGGATGGTCTTGCCATTCGGTGCAGGGCCTGGACTCTCATGCGGGTGAGAGGGCCTACGATGACCACTAGGCGGCCAGCAGACTGGAGGCCACTGCTCTGAGCTTCCCTGGTGGCTCAGAGGTAATGAATCCGCCTGCAATGCAGGAGATGAGGGTTCGATCCCTGGGTTGGGAAGATGCCCTGGAGGAGGGCGTGGCAACCCACTCCAGTATTCTTGCCTGGGGAATCTCCATGGACAGAGGAGCCTGTTGGGCTACAGTCCATGGGGTTGCAAAGAGTCAGACAAGACTGAAGTGACTGAGCACATATACATATTCACAGGGGACTAGTGGACTGACAGTCACTGCTCCAGGCAGGATCTGCAGGAGGCAGCAAGCATCCCACAGGTGGTGGGTGGATTCTGGGCTCCCATGGAGCTGGGCAGGGGCACCTCTGTTCATAGGCCTTGCTTGATCCTGACAGTGGACAAGATCTGCTGTTCCCAGCTCAGGACCCTTCCTACTCATGACTCTCAGAATCATCTCAGGGGTGGGAACCCTCTGTAGAGGCATGCTGGGCAGGCAGAGGATGCAGGGCACAGGTGTGGGTGCTCTCTGTGGGCACAGAGTCCCTCAAGCTTCAGATGGATACTAGCCTCCCCAGGAGGATTTACGGTCTCAGCCACCAGAGAAGCCCCTAGATAGGCTGAGAATATCTCAAATCATTAAGTTACTACAACAAACAACCATTTATTGGCTTAAAATAACACATTCCGAAGGCCAAAAGCCCCAAATCAGAGGTTCACTGTGCTGACTTTAAGGTGTGGGCAGCCACACGCCCTCGGGGGTCTCCAGGGGACCATTCCTTGCCTCTCCAGCCCTCCTGCGTGCGTGGCCTCACTACTCCCATATCTGCTTGTCTTCTCATCACCTTCTCCTTTGTGCATAATCTCCCTCTGTTTTTTTTTTTTTTTAACAAAACACTTTATTGCTAAAAAAAGAATACTATTATCCAAGTCTTCAGTGAGTCATAATGTTTTTGCTGTTGAAGGATTTGAAATATTTCAAAAATTACCAAAATGTGATGGAGACATGACGTAAGCAAATGCTGTTGGAAAAATGCCTACAGGCTCACTTGATGTAGGGTTGCCAGAAGCCTTTAATTTGTAAAAAATATAAAGATAAATGCACTATGCCTGTTATTACTTTTTAAGCGAGGCCTTCCCTCTGGCAACCTATTTAAATCACAACCACACTTGTTTTCCACTCAGCAAGCACTTTTTCTTCGTAGCCCTTTTATTGTTTACCATCTATTTTTGCCCAGAAGAAGGTAAACTCCAGGAGGGCGGGGATTTTTGTCTATTTGGTTTTTCATTACTCTATCCAGAGCCCTTTAACAGTGCCTAAATGTAATGTTGGCACTCAAAAATGGCTGTTGTCCCCAGTGGTCCAGTGGCTAAGACTCTGTGCGCAGTGTAGGGGGACCGGGTTCTATGCCTGGTCATGGAACTAGACCCCACATGCTGCAACTAACAGTTCAAATGCCCCAACTGTTAATAAGAGATCCCTCATGCTGTAATGAAGGTTGACGATTTCATGTACCACAACTAAAGGCCCAGTGCAGCCAATAAATAAATAATTTTATTTACTTTTTGGTTACACTAGGTCTTCATTGCTGTATGAAGGGGCTAATCTCTGGTTGTGGTGCTCACGCCTAGCTGCCCCGAGGCATGTGGAATCTTTCCAGTCCAGGGATGGAACCAATGTCCCCTGCATTGGCACGTGGATTCTTAACCACTGGACCACCCAGGAAGTCCAATAAATATTTTTTTTAAATGGCTGTTGAATGAATGGAGATGCATATACCTAGGACCCTCTGGATGCTGAGAGGCAGATGGTACTGCCTCTCAGTCATATTCTGTATTTTAAAACGCTTGAACCTGCAACAGATATTGCAGTCACTGTCTTATTATTTGTTTGTTCGTTCAGTCACCAAGTCGTGTCTGACTCTTTGAGACTCCGTGGACTGAAGCAGTCCAGGCCTCCATGTTCCTCACCATCTCCCGGAGTTTGCCCAAGTTCGTGTCCTGTCTATAGGAGGACCTTTGGGAGATGCTAGTCCTGTGCTACCTGGGCCATGACATCCTGTGACATAACCATCCTTTACTTACCTTAAAAACAGTTATGGAACTTCCCAGGTGGTCCACTGGTCAGGACTCTGTGTTTCCACTGCAGCGGGCACAGGGTCAATTCACAGTCTGGGAACTTAGATCCCACATGCCATGTGGCACAGCCAAAAAAAAATCAAAATAAAACACTGTCCTCATTCACTAAAGGGATTAAATCAGAATGTATCTGTTGAGCGGAAGATGGGACTACTCACACAGTTGCCAAATAAAATATGAGATGCACCGAATGCCTAATTAAATTTTGATTCTGGATAAACAACAAATAATCTCTTAGCATAAGTACAACCCATGCAGTTATTAAGTGGGTGTCTTGTGTTTTTATTTGCTAAATGTGACAATGCTATACTGATGACCGTCTTATCTGAAAAGTTATAAACTGTCTTCGCATGGCCTTTCTACAAGTTATTATCCTCCTAGAAATGGAGGCAGGGAAAGAGAAGGAGGAGACTGCTAAGAGAAATCAGCAAGAATGCGACTCATTCTCGTGGCCTCTGCTCATCTTATGAGAACACTCATGATGACATTTGGGCTTCCCTTATAATTCAGTTGGTAAAGAATCTGCCTGCAGTGCAGGAAAGCTGGGTTTGATTCCTGGGTCAGGAAGATACCCTGGAGAAGGAAATGGCAACCACTCCAGTGTTCTTGCCTGGGAAATCCCATGGACAGAGGAGCCTGGTGGGCTACAGTCCATGGGGTCACAAGAGTTGGACATGACTTAGTGACTAAACCACCACCACCACCACCATGATGACATTTAGGGCCACTTGGATAATCTGAAAAACTTTCATGTCAAATCCCATTTAACTAAAAATTTTGAACTGCAATATTCACTTTATTGAGGTGGTCTGGGAAAACTCCAATTTATTTAAAAAGCAAAGAAGGAAAGAAAGATGGAAAGAAGGAAGAGGCGGATCACCAGCTTAGGACACCTGTCTTCTACTATTCAAATATTGGTGAATTGTGAAAATAATTTTATTCTTTTAGAAATCTGAAAACAGAATGCAAAAGATCATATTATGAATCAGGAATTAGGATATTGTCAATCTGCACGAAAGCAAAAAAAAGAAAAAAAAACCACAACAAAAACAAAACTGAGCCATACCAAGCAAAAAAATAGCTTGTTTGTTTGTTTCTGAAGAGAGTAACACATTTTATCTATAAACTGTAATAATCAGGCATTAGTAAGACATTAACTACTAAATAAAATTTTTTAAGTAGTAATAAAAAAAAATATTTAACTTAGTCACATCTGCAAAGACTTTTTTCCAAATAAAATTACATTTACATTTGCAGGAATTTAGACAAAAATACCTTTGGGGGGAGCACTTTTCAGCCTATCAAAGCCCCATGATCCATATAGACCTCTTTTCCCCACAACCCAGTCCCCACCTGTCCTGAGCCATCCACACCCCAGACTTGCTCACAAAGAAACTTGGGTTCATCTCAGTCCCTGGCAGCCTAGTCTGTGCAGCTGCAGCTGGACTGCTGAGGAGCTCCAGGACTCAGCTCTGTCCAGGCAGAGTTCCTGGATGCCCCAGCATGTGCTGTGGACCTGTGGCTGGAGCTTGGAAGCCCTGCCCTTCTGCCACTGTCTGTGC